TTTTACAGCTTTGAGTATTAGTTGTAATTAGGGTTGCAACCCAGGTTGTAATCCGTAATGTCCGTAATTATTACTTACGGCCAGCAACCTTACAATGGATGGTTGACAAATTTTAAAAAAAGATATTATATAAAAAAATATAAACGTTTAGGCGAAGCTGCAAGTGCACCCTTGGAGGACCTTTTCAGATTTTGTGCTGAATTACAAGAATTAATCAAAAAGTATGATCCTGAAGATGTTTATAATGCTGATGAAACGGCATTATACTGGCATATGAAACCTGATAAAACATTAGCAAATGGCCCAATTTCAGAAAAAAAAAAAGCAAAAGATCATGTCACAATCTTACTTACATGTAATGCAACTAGTAATCATAAACTGCCTCCTCTGTTTATATATAAATATAAAACACCTCAAGCTTTCAGAAATATCAATAAATCTACCTTACCCGTATATTATTACTAGAATAGCTCTGCTTGAATACAGACATCAATTTTTAATCATTATATTGAACATCTTGATAATCAAATTTAATTTGCTGGTCAGTCAATACTTCTTATTTTAGATGGCACATTAACTCATGAACTTCAAGAAAACTTCACTCCAACAAATATAAAGCTTCATTTTTTCTCTGCAAATACAATAGTGCACCTTCAACCCTGTGATGCAGGGATAATTTGAAGCTTTAAGGCGAGTTATTTATTTATTATCAAAAATCAAAAATAGAATATGTTTATAAAATATTTAATTTATAATGAAGAAATTGAAATTGCTAGAATGGAATTGAAGTTGAAAGAATGAATATAAGACATTTATTTATTTTCAAAAATCAGAGAGATAGAATATGCAAAAAGGAACTAGGGTTGAAAAAATGAACATAAAGAATTTATTTATTATCGACAATCCGCAGAGACAGATAATATTAACGGAACATTTAAAATTGAATAATTATAATATTACTTTTGTGTTATAGACACATTATAAAAAATTATTTTGTGAGGATCATATAGATACATTTGATGCTTATCTAGAATTTGGTGATGATTCTTCCGAACCAATAATTATTAAAGATATGATTGACTTTACTGCTGCCACCTGGAAAAAAGTAACACCCAAGACTATTCGTAGCTGTTAGAAAAAGACTGGCATTTTGCCAGAGGGTTTTTGAGTAAATTATTCCCATTTGAAGAACTTGACCAAATTAATGAACATGATATTACTAGCAAAATTCAGGATTTGATTATGCGTTTGCCTCTTGAACAACCTATGAGTGTGAATAAATATTTAATTGCCGATAATGATCTTATCACCACTAAAATGCCAAATGACAAAGAGATAATTGAAGCTATGAATGTGTTGAACCAGAGGATGAAGTTCCAAATAAACTAATATTCTCTGCACAAGCCTTAGGATTTATTGATAGCATCTTGTTATTTCTTGAGCAGCAACCGGATGGCAATTTTAACGTTGATGTTTCTCTTATTCAAAACTTAGAAAAGATAAAAAAAGATGTGAGATTGAAGCATATTACTTCACAACATCAAGCCACTTTAAATTCATTAATTTCGAGTGCAAATTAACTAAAAATTTTTTTGAAAGGGGTTTTTTTTTTTTTGATTGTTTTTTTTTGAAAAAAGTGTAGCCAGTTGAATGAAATTATCAAAATAGGTTATTTTTTATATAGCTTAAGATAATAACTTAGAAGTGAAATATGATTTACAATATTTAACTGAGTTTTTTGTAGATGGATGCAATGATTTTTTAATCTTTTTGCTTTGGTTTTTTTTTTGAATGCGATTAGCTTTGAATTCTTTTTTACCTCACAGAAGCTATATATGTCTAATCCGAATTTTAGATATTTGCTTAATTTTGTTGTTTTCTATAACTATATTCTAAACAAGTAATAAAGAAATTTGCAACAATATACTATAATCTATATATGTAGTGCTAAAAGAATATATTTGGCAATATACAGATAAATTTAAGCATAAATTATACTTACTATTATTTTCCTTAATATAGCAAAGATTTATATTTTTATATATTATCTTCACTATATCAAGAAACTTTTGATATAGTGAATCTCTTGGTATTGTGAAGAAAAATTTACAGCCCAATGGCTTCACTATAACGAGTGTGACTTGTATTTATTCCGGATGAAAATGCATATCAAAACACCAGACATTTATTTGTTTTGGTGATTTATTATTCAAAAGTATTTAAATAAGTAATATTCATAAATATATATTAATTAAAGTATTTTAGAATAAGATATTCAAAGCTTATGAATAATTACTATTACATAATACTTACTTATTTTATTTTATTTATTTATTTAGCAGACCAGATTAACAAGGTTGCATTAGTGAATCTGGTGATGTGCCAAATTGTGGATAATTGATTATTCTGAAAATCTGAATAATTTTATTATGCTTATAAATAGAACTTTTGAGGAAATATCATTAAATTTTTTTTACTTTCCAATAGTTATATAGGTATTGATGCCCGGGGGATTTTGATGTATTAATAAAGTTTGCGAATATTACGATACCTATTTATTTTATTCACATTGGCACGGTGCATAAAGATCATTTAATATAGGTTTATTTAAGATACATTATTCAAAGTTCGTAATTTCAATTTGTCATTTAAGGTTATTTATTCACATTAAATTAATGGTGAGTATAAAAATCATTTGCTTTTAAGCTTTTCTCATTTATTTGTATTAAATTAGGGGTGAGAGTTACGATTACACAAATTGATTTATTCTTAGGTACTATATCTAATCATTTGATATGAGCATGCCTTTTGGTTAAAGGCATGCCCATAAACACCATGCCCTCCACCTTACTTATAAGCGAGCCCAACACTGGCTATAGAGACATTATACAGTAGAATGGCAAAACGATGAACAGATCAAAGATAGATTTATACGGTTAATAAATTGAATTATTGACTTAATGAAATTAATAAAAATAAGCTAAATGTAGATGATTTAATAAACAAATATAATATAATATCTAGATCATTAAGAAAAAGCCATTAAATAGTCTTTTACAAAAGGATCTGTTAAAATTTCATTACTTAAATATTATATACAGTCAGACCGCACGTCATCGGGACCAGCTCTGGAGCATACATTTAGAAAGGGCTGCAATTATAGAACACCAATAAAGTGATAAGTATTGCTTTAGTAGCCTAAAAATAATAGATTTGATTGGCTAGTAATCACGTGGATGCATTTATGAAGGGAGAATAAAGAACGTGCATTTAACTATAAGTCCTACCGTGGGCCGGCTTTATATTATGCACTTAGGGGTGCTGCATTTAGGGAGGGTGCATTTAGGGGGATCTGACTGTATATTGCAGAGCCCACGCAGATAACTGTAATGAAAGGGATATCATACAGACGAGATCAAAGATGGTAAGGTAAAGATCGCAAATAATATGTGAATAATAGCGATGTTTTTGCATTGAATAGTGATGCCTGACGAAACCATGTGATGCTAATTATCACATGCTATTACTTATAAAAAATCAAAATAGATTGTTGATTTATATATTGTACCATGTGACAGTATTGAATAGGGAGGAATCGTTCCAATGTTCTTAATGTATAAATACCTTTTTGCTTCATTTTGATTCAAGTATTTTCTATACTATAATCTTTCTGTATTGTTATAATAGAAAAACGGGATCCGTTCGAATCCACAACATACGCATGATTGAGTTACAAATTAAGCCTATAACGTTACTGGTATTTTTTTTTAATACGTTTAATAACTGGCCAATCACAATCTAATGAGTCGAGATCTACAGGTCGCATATTTGCAGCCAATAAAATAGAATTTTGCAATGCTCCTATTATAAAAGGGCTTAATTCTCAACTTAATACTTGTACAAGGATATTTGTTGATCGTTATAAAGAGATGTCAAAAAGTTATACCGGTATACGTACAGTATGTTATAATTACGTGATGACTTATTTCAGCCTATGGTTATTCCCTTTTATTTAATAATCAATCGTTTCTGTACACTAGAAGCTGATTCTTCGAAATTACTTGTTAAGCGTCTTAGCGAAAAAGCAAAATTACCCGAACGTGCTTCACCACAGGCTGCTGGCTATGATTTGTTCAGGTATATTGTTATATATAAAACTTCTTATTATCTTTATTCGTGGTGTTGATAGAAGTGTGTAAATATGCGACCAACATCTTATTATCTCTACTTTATGTATAAAGTGCTGTGGAGATGGTTGTTCCAGCTAAAGGAAAAGCTTTGGTTCCTACCGACATATCAATCGCACTTCCCGAAGGAACTTATGGACGTGTCGCGCCGAGAAGCGGTTTAGGTGATATTTTTTACAAAAATCCTCTCCGCATTACGTAGCGTGTCTAACATCGCGTGAACTTTAAAGCACTGAACCATTTCCTTGACTGCGGCGCTGGTGTAATTGACGCCGACTACAGAGGGCCAGTTGGCGTCCTCCTATTTAACTTTGGGAGCAAAGAGTACAAAGGTATGAAATAGTATTTATGGAATTTTTAGTTCAAATGAATTTAATTGATTCAAATCAAAATTATATAGTTAAAGAAGGCGAACGTATTGCTCAACTAATTCTCGAAAGGATATATACTCCAGAAGTAGTTGAAACGGATGTAGGCATTTGTGACTTATTTAGTAAAGCATTGTGCATGCTATATAAGAAGTATTTATTAAACTTTAAATTTTAAATATTAATTTCAGTTTTTAGGATCAACTGACCGCGGAGACAAAGGATACGGGTCGACCGGTCAATTGTAATAATATCAGTAACCAATTAAAATGTCATAATTCAGCGCCAATAAGGCTATCAATAATAACAATGATTTTAGAAAGTATAATACTGTAATATTTATCGGTTTAATATATGGGCTTGGTGCTGCAAAAAGGGACCAAATTGACAATTTTTTCAAAAGATATTTTTTTACATAAATCAATTTAGAATAAGATTAGGATCATTTTTTACTTAAGACACAAAAGTAGTTGTATTAATAAAATTTTGCAGTATTGCTCTTTAAAGTTTGCATTTTCTTATGGTTTATTATAAGATTTATAACATAAAAATTGATTTTCCGATGATCTTTTGTTTTATCAATTTGGTCCCTTTTTGCAGCACCAAGCCCATATAGTTTAATAAATTTATATGTAGTATTTAAATAGTAATTTTTATTATATAACGCCTTTCATCATAGTAAATATGGATCTAATAGAACTGCTAACAACTGTTTCACCAACAATCTACATATATCCAACACTAACTAAAATTTGGCCAACCTTAACCTAAATTGGCCAACTATGTCTTTAGATATGGGGTTGAGTCAATAGAAACCAAGCAAATATTTTTTGATAAGTTTTTTAAACTTTAAGCAAGGATACTTAATAAAAACTTGACCAAGATTTGTTAAGCTATTATTGTTTAAAGCTATAAAAAATTTCTATTATAAAAAATTTGTTTGATTTTTATTGACTCACTTCGTATTAAAGATATATAATCGATTACCGAATTATTGTAGCATGGTAATAATAATTTTCTTTAATTGATTTAATAATTTAAATACCAATATAAAATTAATAAGCAAATTAACCATCACTGTCGGGAATTTCAACACCAATAGTTCGACTTCCTAAAAAGCATATAAATATACAGTATTAAAACTACAATTTAAATCCAATTTAAGCATATAAATATCATTACCTGCATTTACTATATTTACAGATTCAATAATTTTACAATTAATAACATTTTGTTTTTTATTAAAAATATGAATAAATGTTATTATCTGGTTTAGAGGTTTGAAAGATTCAAAAATCGACTTGTATAAATAGCGTCTGATTTTGAATTGTGACGATTTAACTTGACAATTAGTTAAAAAATTTTTATCTGTCTTTAATATTTTTAATTTGCTTAGATAATTCAGTTTTTTCATCTTTAAAATCATAAAAAAATAGACTCAGCGTATTAGCTAATTCTTCAGCAGTTGGTCGGTTTGGAGGTTCTGCGTCTAAGCATTTATTCGTCAGATCCAAAAGCAATTGAGGAACTTCGCATCTAATTTTGGGTCTATAACCTAGACAAATCCGTGTTGTTAGATCTTCGTTGTGTGGAATGTCATGATATGGATGATATCCAGTAAAAATTTCTGACATAATTATCAAAGAATAAATATCTGATTTTTGAGTATATTCCTTTCCATTTGTATATAATACCTCCGGAGCAATATAGGAAAGCACACCAAAAAGAGCTTTAGAACTTGAGTCTTGAGACACTGGCTTACATAAGCCAAAATCTGTAATGTAAGAACTATACATATTTTGATTAACTATATTGCTGAAATGAAAATCTTTATGCACTAACTTGACAAGTGAATTTTATTAAGCCCATCAGATAAAAGCCCAATCTAGTTCATTAAATTTACTATCTAATAATTTTCGGAGACTTCCTTGCTTTGCATACTCCATGACCATCATGTAATTACCATCTTTTGGGTTTTTGGTTATCCCATAAATTGCAATTGCTGAATTGCTCCCATGTTTATGTTGATTTTTAACCTAATAAATATTAATAGAATATCACACTTCAATAATAATAAATGTCATAGCTGAAGATAGAAACGGCTGAATTGAAAATTAGAGCCTCGGTTTAAAATATTAACCTTACTAAAAATTTACTTTATATTCTTTTATTATCAAAATAACTCTAAATTCTATCTAACTATTAAAAAAAGCTAAAATAATGTGCCCCAAAAAAATTTGAGGATTTCATATTTAAGATTTTCAGCTTCGGCCGCAACAATAAATTATAATACTTACTTCATCTAAAAATTCTGGGTTTATATTTTTAGAATTATCAAGACATTTTAAGCAAACATCCATTTGCGAACTTCTCTTCCATTCATTTTTCTTTTGATCAAGTCCTGTAATGTATTCATCAATCCATACTGCCCTAAAAACAGTGCCAAAGCCTCCTTTAGCAAGATACTTTATATTTGTAAATCTGTTAAAAGGTATCCATTCAACAATGTCCTTAAACATCGCATTAAGTTGTGTTTGTTGAATTAATTGATTAATGTCGTGATTGTCACTTGTCCAATTATGAAATTCTTTTTTAAGTCTTAATATTAAAAAATAATAAATATAATAATAGTTAAGATCTAGCATTATAAAAAATAGCTAATACGTACCGTCTAACATTGGTTAACGCAGAATAATTATTGCATTAGAATTATCGATATGCTAAAATTCTGTTACTGTACTTACTCGCTATGGTGGTGATACAAGTTTAGATATGGATATGTTTAGTTTTGTATTTGAATGAATCTGATTTTTATTAGAATGAACGTGATTTGTATTGGGATGAACGCTGGTTTACTGCACTTACTAACTATTGTGGTGATACAAGTGATTTAGATATAGATATGTTAGTTATGTATTGGAATGAATATGATTTCTATAGTAATTTATTGTAAAAAATTCTTACCGCCTATTGTGGTGATACAGGTGATTTAGATATAGATATGTTAGTTTTGTATGAACTTGATCTCTATAATGATTTACTGTAAGAAATTCTGGTTTACTGTGCTTACTCGCTATTGTGGTGATACAAGTGATTTGGATATAATTATGTTAGTTCTGTATTGGAATGAACGTGATTTATATAATGATTTACTGTAAAAAATCTGGCTACTGCACTTATGAGCTATTGTGGTGATACAAGTGATTTAGATATGGAAACATTAGTTTTGTATTGGAATGAACGTGATTTCTATAGTGATTTACTGTAAAAAATTCTGGTTTACTGCACTTACTAACTATTGTGGTGATGCAAGTGATTTAGATATGGTTATGTTAGTTTTGTATTGGAATGATCGTGATTTCTATAGTGATTTACTGTAAAAAATTTAGCTACTGCACTTACTCACTATTGTGGTGATACAAATGATTTAGATATGGTTATGTTATTTTGTATTGGAATGAATGTGATTTCTATAGTGATTTACTGTAAAATTCGGCTACTATACTTACAAGCTATTGTGGTGATACACATCAGCAAATGTTTTTTGACATTATTATGCCATTAAATATTTTAACAAAAGATCCTTGAATTCATCGCTCTCTACGTTAAGATAGTATTAAACTTGAATACTAAATTAGTATTATTTTGGACGATAAAATAGCAAGAATTTAATATTAATACTGAAATAGTATTAACTTAAACATTAAATTAGTATTATTATGAACGATAAAATAGCAAGTTTAATATTAATACTGAACTAGTATTACTGTAGACGATAAAATAATAAGAATTTGAATTTGTTTATTATAATAACCGTATTATATATATTATTATATATAGTATATATATTATATTAAATTAATATAATTTTGCCAATAAAATAATAGATAATATCAATATAAATTTGATTGATAAGGATCAATGAAGCGATAAATTAAATTTGCATAAACAGCCAAACCCGATAATACTAAAACCTATATAAAGTATAAAAAAAAAACAATAAAATCAAAAGATTAGCTTGTTCAATTCCAACCCGACAAAGCTAAATCTATGTACATGGTAGAAGAAAGAACTGAAAGATTAGCCTGTGCAATTCCAACCTGGCAAAGTCTATATGCATGGTAGAAGTAAGAAAGAACCAAAAGATTAGCTTGTACAATTCCAATCTGGCAAAGTTAAATCAATGTACACAGTAGAAGAAAGAAAAAACCGAAAGACAAGCCAATTAAATTCCAACCCAGCAAAGTCTATATTTGTGGTAGAAGTAAAAAAGAACCGAAAGATTAGCTTGTGCAATTTCAACCTGGCAAAGCTAAATCAACATACATGGTAGAAGAAAGAAAAAACCAAAAGACAAGTCTATTAAATTCCAATCCGACAAAGCTAAATCTATGTACACAATAGAAGAAAGAAAAAACTGAAAGATTAGTTCTAATCCGGAAAAGCCAAAACTATATACACAATAGAAGAAAGAAAGAACCGAAAGACAAGCCTATTAAATTCCAATCCAGCAAAGTCTATATGCGTGGTAGAAGCCCCTCATGAGAACAAGCCTTTCAAGCCCAACAAGATAAGAAAGAACTGAAAGATTGGCTTGTTCAATTCCAACCCAGCAAAGCTAGATCTATGTATAGGTAAAAAAAAAAGAAAGAGCCAAAGATGCTCAATTCCAATCCAGCAAAGCTAGATCTATGTATAGGTAGAAAAAAAGAAAGAGCTGAACCAAAAGACGCTCAATTCAAAGCTAGATCTATGTATAGGTAGAAAAAAAAGAAAGAGCTAAAAGATGCTCAATTCAAAGCTAGATCTATGTATAGGTAGAAAAAAAAGAAAG